GGGGGTGCCGGCGCGGGCCTCTGCGCCGGTGGTTTCATCGTTTCGCCTGAAATCGTATATAGATTCGTCCAATACCATTTTCACAACATTTCGATGCTTTTCAGAAGTGATGGTCACAGTAAAATATTTAAAGACTTCTTTTGAATCTTGCAAATCAATCTGGTTAGAAACATGGGGTTTAATGAACCGCAGCTACTTCTAAATCTGATGCACACGAGCAACATCTTTCTAACTTGCAATCAAATTCGTTTGCTTTTGACTAATACAAAGACATGATCGTATGCAGAAAAGTCACCCACGTGAAACATACAGTGAGTCAGATTATTGCAAAAGATCATGTTTCCAAATGTAGTTAATATGATTTGAAAATGAACTTACACGAGGAGGCAGTACTAGTCGACCCAGTGCTGGTGGAAGTAGCTCCGCCACTACCCGTACTGGTGCTCAAACTCGTGCTGCTACTAGTGGACGCGACAGCAACGTTCTGCCCGTAGGACACTGCGCTGTTGATCACCCCGTTAAGTAGCCTCTGCGTGGCGAATCCTTGAACACCGTTGTTTTGCGACCAAAATTGATGATGAGCCAGAAGATGAGGCGGTACCGAGGGTACCCGGGGTCTGGGCGGCGTCGGGGGTGTCTGCGGTTGTTGCTGCTGCTGTTGTTGTGAGCCATGCGTGGTGCTCGCGCTGGGGCTCATACTCTGGCTAGGGCTGTACTGGGAAGATGGACTGCTCCGGTGACTAGGTTGACTGGAGGTCTCTGAACGACCACCACCGCCGCTACCACCGCCGCCTCCTCCATCGAAAACCGAGTTATCGGACTCCTCCTTGGTCTGGGCCGACGAAAGGTCACCCTTGTCGGGGCTGTCGCTCCTCGAGGTCGGTTCTTGGGGCATGGGAGTCGTGGAGACCGCTTGCATCGGCGAGTAAGGCGACATTCTGGTTGGTATCGGGGTACCAGCACGCTGTTGTTGATGCTGCTGCTGCTGCTGTTGTTGCTGCTGCTGCTGCTGTTGTTGCTGCTGCTGCTGTTGCTGCTGTTGGTGCTGATGGTGCTGTTGTTGCTCTTCGACCACCCTGAAGCCCACCATCGAAGTGGCATCCGGGAAGACTGAATCGGGCGACGCACGGTCCGAGCAGGATGTGTCGCGAGCTTCCATGCCACTTGCCAGCCCAGTTCCGCGGAGAGGATCTCGCGGTGTCCCTGGACTCGGGATGCCTAGCAGATACTCGCTTTTCACTTTGACCACGGGGCAGCCCGGCGAGCCCGGCATGTTAGCCTCCGGCGACAGGGTCGAGGTGTCAGCCATGCTCTCCCCTGGAGCAGGAAAGTTTATGGGTGAAGGAGCGTCCGCCGGCTGGATCCCGAGCGGCGAGCCTGCTGATCCGAGGGATACCGGGGAGTCTGAGAAATAAGGCGTTGGTCTCACGTTTATACTCGGTGGAACATTTGCACACGTTTACCTCGGGAAGGCCGCGATTACGGGCGTGGATGAAGCGCGATTAGTCCTGACACGCGTGTCGTGTGCACATGATTATGGACTGCCCTGGCTTTTTATTTTCGTGATGATGGGCGTGGTGATGGTGGTGGTAGGGCGATTTTTTTTTTAAAGAATATTCAGCGAACGATAGGTTTGCCGGTTTTGTGGTGAGTTAGTGACGGACGCATCGATGATCGAGGTTCAGCGCTGATCATCTTTGGAGCAAATGAACTGGTTCGTGAACAGTTTATGATTGTTACCTTAGATAAGCTTGATTGTCATGCGGCGAGAATGATGATGGGTATTGCGAATATAATTTGCGAACTTTGTGAGATGGTGTCCCTGGCTATTAGGCTTCTTTGGACCAGCTTTAATCTGAGAGGGTCAAGTATAGTTAGAAATTTGCAAATATGCTTCTCGATTTCTGGGTTCTCAAATTCAAATCCCTAAATCTAGATATTCTCGTGTTTTCACATTTTCGAATTCTATAAAAGTTTTAATTTCCTAAGTTCTTAAAATTTGCAAATTGGTAAATCTGCAAATTTTTTTAATCTCCGAGTTCTCAAATCCCAAAATTCCTAAATCTTCAAATTCTCAAACAGATTCCTAAATCTCCAAAACCTTAAAATTCACAAATTTTCACAAAGTTAGAAATATGGCAAATCTGACTACTTCCATCCCTAGAAATCCTACGAATAGCAAGTTCTTCTCACCAAAACCATAACTCCCCTAATTGAACCTACATATCTCACCAACATACAATACACATGATACAAGATTCACGTCTGATTATAATCTGTATCGATCAGATTGTCCCAACAGAGATGAACACGTTAGCCAGCGTTCTGTTTTGACACCTCAGTACGTAACACTTAACGAGTATTGTTCATTACTATTCTTCTTAGATTGGGCAACCACGTTTCACCGTGCATTAATAACAATTACTGCGAGCCAACGATTCCATCCTTATATCTGATTCGCACGAGATTATGAAAGTTACATGGCATGAAATTCTTCTTCGTTTGAGAGTTGAACTATTCGGTTCAATGATCTCGTAACCATCTCGAACTGCTATATTCACGTTAATGGGTTTGGTCTTTCGTGTTCAAGCCGTTATGAAAATGTTATTAATCATCGTGCATAAGCATGCCCGGTGGTCTATCGCGATGATGAATAACATTTATTATGGTATGCAGTCGATCTGCTTTATGATGTTGACAGACGCATTTCGAAACCTATCGTATTTTCTTCTTCCTGTTCGCATATGAAAGTAAATACCCTGAGAATAATATATATTAACAAACTTTTAGGAGCAAACTCTATAATAGTTGGAAGCGATACAAGTCGATCTTTAGGATTTTTTTTTGCAATTACATATCGAAGATAAAAAGTCAATATAGTGTTCCAGGCTTGTTATAGTAGTATACATATGTATACATGTGTATGTAGATATACATATAGACACAATAGAAGTACATAGATGTGATTGACAATATAAATAAAATTTTTCTATTTGCATCGTTTGTATCAAATTTAAATTATTTGTATCGGTATTAAATGTTTACGTCTAGTACTTGCATATCATTTCAATTTTTCAATCTCCTTAATCATTCATAACAAAATTAGAGTAACTTGATGTGAAGATATTTGAGAAAAAAAATGTCAAATTTGCTAATTTAATAATTTTTGAAAATTTTACAAGTAGAAGAACAAAAGTGTTTTTATCCGTCAGCTAACCATGTGGTCTGACTTGCTTTTATGCCACATCCAAGGGTGCGAGATTACATGCGCGGCAACAAGGATATTTCACAGCCAGAGCAATTTACCGAAACGAAACTGTAATACTCGTTCGAGGCGTTTAGGTGGCGAAAAGGATGTGGGACTATGGCGTGTAGGTCAAGGAAGGAATGCAGTTGACAAGGCCGAGCTATGATTGTAGGTACCTAGGTACCAGTTTCCAAGCTATTAATAGCTCGATCACCGTGAATATCGGTTCCCGCGGATTATTCATTTACCGACTCTTATCGTCCTCCTCTCGTTTTGATTTTCTCGCGAGATGGAATCGATTCCCCGGGTTATTCAATCTTATTTTCAACCATTCCCATTCCGATCGCGCGTAACCGTACGATTATTCATTCATCGATGTCGCAGTCGATCGACGAGTCACGAACAATGCATGATTGATGAAATTAGAGCTTCGATTCTCAGGTATTCTGGGATTCGCTATTGTTAGGGCTGTTTGTCTTTCGGGTGTGAATAGAGTCGTGTTTTAATAGTCGATGATGTAGATGCAAGTGAATTTTGGGTTCTTTAGAATTATTAAGATTTTCGGATTTTGAGACTTAGAGATTTCGGGACTTTGAGACCTATTTTGAAACGTTAGTCATTGAAGAACCAGTGTTAGTTAACTATTGATATACAGATCAAAGTTACCAACTAATCGTTAATAAGCACTGTATGAATTAATACAATCAATATAGTCCTCCCATGAATTAATCATAAATATACACATCAATATTATCCTGCATGAATTAATCATAAATATACACATCAATATTATTCTTCATAAATGATTCATGAAACAATGTTATCCCTCTTTAATCAACCTCTGCGTACAAGTTTCCATAACGAACAACAAAACTGAAAAATCCTCCCCATCACATACAGTCTAATCCGTCTAATCCACATTCAGTAAATGTCCACATGTGACGAGTTAACATATCCTATTTACCGAATATCGAAGAGCAATAGTTCTTCGAATCGTAGTAGCAGTATCGATGATCGAAGATCGAGTGGACACCCATCGGTCCCGATCTAAGGAAATCGAGGCTGTGATAAGACGGCACGTGGAAACCGTAGTAAGGATGATAGAGATACGGGTTAAAGGGAGGGAAATTATTTAACGGTGTTCGTTGAAGCGCTCTCAAATCCATGTTTAACGAGTTCCAGTATTCCAGCCAGTGGAGATTAGACACCAGGAACATGTTGCCTTTCAATGGAGAGTTCATTATGCCGGTAGCGTAGGTAGCATTATCCTTGGTACTTCTCTGTATATCGTCGAATATTCGTTGAACCGTGAGAACGTGTGTACTTGTTGCGTGTCGTTAGAATATCGAGTTCTTCGTTAAGCTCGATTACTTTCATCGATTGTCTCCGTTGTCTCGGAAATCGTTGCACTTTTCCACTGTCGATTGATTGTCCTCGTGTTTCGATCTTGAGAAATGTTTCGATACAAAATAAGTATGTAACTTTTTTAGAATTTATAGTTGAAGCGATGTTAGAGTCACAGTTTGTACATGAGAGTTCATATGAGAGCTTGCATATTAGGGCTCTTAGAAGTCTCTTTGACAATACGTTTTAAAGCAGATTTAAATCAGTGATACGAGTGAAATATGTATAACTAGACAATGAAATATTTAGATAACGGTACATGAATTATTTCTGCAACATACAGTTACGCACAGTCTAACTATTTTATCCCTTTTATTTTTTAAGCAATTTTCTAATAAACTTGAGAGATTTTAGAGACATTTTAGAAAGCGTTATTATACTACAAGGCTATTTTTTTAAGATTATTATACTATTTTTTGTATTTGAACAACATATTTATGTAAAGCAGTACAATGCTATAAGAAGATATAAGTTTGAGTTACCGCATTTAAATTTAAAATTAGATTAGAGGAACTGGTTTCCACTAAGCAAAAGTAAATAATTTCGTCCATTAATATTCAAAATGTTTGTTAATTATATATGTTAATTTCAGTTTTCTTGCATAATAACTCTATTACAAATAAATTAACAAATGTAATGAGGTATATAAATCTTTTTCGAGTCTATGTATAATATATCGCTTGGTGCTATAATTATAATATTCTGGTTTTGATTATAATCTGATTTTGGTGCTGTTTACAGACAGGAAAACCACTGTTTAAATTAAATTACAGGTACCAGTTGATATATAAATACGTACTCTATGACAATAAAGAAATTCTGTAAGTAGAACTGTCTTTATGTAGCGATGCAAAGCGTTAAGTAGAACGAGCATAGCACTGATCAGACGTACCGAAAAATATCACAGTTTCTTTCCTTGTATGAGCACAATTCATTTTAAGGTAGAGGCCAACGAAACTTTCAATTATCTTCACAAAAATGTTTTCATACGAAAAAGTTTGAGCTTAAAATTTAACCTTGTTGTCCTACAACCATTCAAGATGTCAAAAATATTTATACAAAAATTTACGTATACACTGCAACTACCAAAAGATTAAATATAATTAAATACACAATTTGTAGTATAATTAAATACAAATTGCACTGTATAGAATTAATTTCAATTTACATACAAAGATGCAGAGGTCAAAGATCTCAACCCTCAAAAAATATTCACCTCTATTAAAATCGTCCTAAAACTTTACAAGCTGTCTACTTTAAAATATTCATGAAAAGATTTAGCATGTGCTTGTCAAATATTCCGAGGTTTGTAATTGAAGAGAGGAAATAAGGCTTTTAAAAACTTTGTAAAAGGTTCATATGAAAGCTAATGTTATTACATTTAGTACCGTTTTTAAGCAACAAGTTTTAACTCCCTGTAAACAATCTGGGTCGTTGACACAAATAATTTTATAATTCTTTTTATTAATACTATATCTGATACAACGATTGCATAACGTCCGATAAATATCCCAGATTTCAAGGATTTCTAAAACTAAAATAGTAAAGATGCACCTTGCCCGCAAAGCCCGATATATTTTATCAATAAATTTTGAGTCCCTCGCTTTGGCACGTATAACCTTAATTATTTTCACTCTTCAATAAAATCCCAGACAAAGTCGCACCACAGCCAGAAAACGAAGAAAACATTTATCAGACACGGTTTTCCGCGTGCGCTATCACTTTGAACTATTCCGGTCTCCGGAGGCTTTCCATATTGTTGCATTCGTCGCACGGTTCCGCGTAATTACTCCGTCGATTTTTTCGCGTGTGACGTCGTTCGCGTGTCGTCGCGAAAGATCAATGATTCCCCGAGACGCGTCGCTCGAAAAAGCCCATTCATGTCGCTTCCGCGTAAATCTTCGAGATACGACGCTCTGAAGCGGGACACGCGAAGCGCGAGAAACTGCGCGTTCTTCAGCGCTGATCCTCGTCCCGACATCGCTGTCTGCGTAACAACAATCCAGGTTCAGCATCGATTCCGCTTCCCGCCAACGGCGATCTCTGACCTTTAATCGCCGGTAGGTCGAGGGTCATTGGTATCGCTCGAAAAATCGATACAGCCTAACGCACAGCTGCACAGCCTCTTTGGTGCCTCTTCGGCAGCTGGTTTCGTTGCGACGCGAAAAAATTCCGCGGACGAAACGTTACGCGTGTTGACGCGAGTTCAGGCGAAGCCGAACTAGCACCGGGAAACCGCGTGGGTTGATATTCAACCCTGCACCGACGCAACCACCCCCTCTATTCCTGGACCTACCTTCCCCTCGACACCAACGTCTCAACTACCCCCATGGTAACCAATTTCTTCCTAACTGATAACTCGAAACCAGAATTGGGATAATGGCACGTATGTTGCTTCTGGGAGGTGGACATGTATGGTGCAAACGTGGATGACGCACAAGTGGAATTTATGTGGGATTCAGAGGGGATACTGTTATGCCGTTGACTGTACGAGGATACATCGTGTTGCTTATGTGAATACAGTAGGATATTTTATATTGACTGTATGAAGTGATATGCATGAGATATTTCATTGTGTGGACTGTATAAGGTGATAAGGTATTTTGTGACATCAACTGTGAGAACTGATATGCATAAGATTTTGTAGCATTGATAGTATGAGATGATGTAAGGTATTTCAGTGTTGGCTGTATGAGCCGATATGCATAACATGGTGTCGAACATATGAGGTGATATGCATAAGAAATTTCATGATAATTGGAGTGATTAAGATTGCTGTCGGAACCTTGCCACAGATTATATTGTCGTGCATAGTATGATCGCATTAGACATTATGTATTGAATGGCTACGTGTTAAAACTCTACGCATGGTATCATATGTTAAGTCTTCACATGTGGTATCATCATATGTTAAGTCTTCACATGTGGTTTCATCATATGTTAAGTCTTCACATGTGGTATCGTCATATGTTAAATCTTCACATATGTTATCATCATATGTTAGGTCTTCTCGTACCGCTATGTTAGGTTTCCACACATGATATCGTCACATTTATATCTCTGTACATATCATCATATGTTATGATTCTTTACATGGTATTGTCAAAGGTTAAATCTCCATGAGTTATATCGTCACGTTACATTGTCACACGTGTTATCATTAGATGTTAGATCTTCAAGCGTTGCATCGTCACATGTTATATTTCCTTGCGTGGTATTGTCACATAGTCTCCACGCATGATGTCATAGGTCAAACCTCCATGTTATATTGTTACATATGTTTTCACGTGGTGTCGTCACATATTAGATCTTCATGTATAGTGTGACCATACATTAAGTCTTCATATGAGGTATTAGATTTCCATGCGTGGTCTCTACGTGTTAAGTCTCCACGAATCATATGTGATGCGTACTATTATTCATAGGTTAGGTCTCCACATGTAGTGTATCCACACATTGGTTTCAACGTGTAGTATAACTACTCGTATAACTGGTACGTATTTTCACGTGTAATATAGTCATGCGTTACATCGCACATGCTGCCACGTGTTGTCCACCCGTTAGATCGTCATGTGTAGTATGATTATGCGCTATATCGCCACGTTACGTCATATCGTCCATTCAGATTCTTAACTTGTTACGCTACCGTCTGTAATATTTTCCTAACCCTACTGTAGTCCTCAATTTATAAGTCATTTTTAATTTTTTTTTTTAATAAATTGCTGCTTATGAATTCCTATACTTCAAGATTAATTCTTCTTTGGATTTTCTAATTTACCTCCATAATTACTTTCTTAAGGTTAGTATCGCCACAGAACGTTTCAAAAAAACCTTTTCCTTTTTAACACAATTTTGCTTTTCATCTATACACAGATTGTTCTCCTTTCCAAACTACAGCTACTTAGCTCAATTTTTAAACGATAACTTAAAACGATAAAAGTTTAAATAAAAATATATTGCCCGAAGAATTTCATAAAGTAATGAAAAAGAAATTGAGAAACTTTTACATGTTCCTTGCAAAGTATATAAATACAGCAAAGCCAAAGAAAATGATGAAATTAAATTGAAGCAACTATTTCTAAGAACTCAACTTCCCAAGGAAAATTGTCTCGACTAAACAATTTTTGCCTGCATATCCCGGTAAAATGAAACTAAAATAGAAGTAGATATCCCCGAACGATCGAAACCGGGTAACAGACTCGAGGGTCCAAGTTTAACGGAAACTCGGCTACATTGTTGACACCATTATGCAAATAAACTCGTATATATTTTGTTGCAGCAGCATTGGAGAAGATCCAGAGATCCATCGAGTCGAAAGAGATAATAAATTCGTGGTTCGAACTAGCCTGCCCGTAAAAGTTGCGCTCGCGTAATGATACGTTCAAGCGTTTATGGCGTTCAAAGCGGAACAGATGAAGCATGATTGATGTTACACGCGAGTTCCATGCGCTGTACGGTGTAATGTACGCGGCTTATGAAAATCGGGCCAATAAAGGGTATCAAATGTGGCATTATGGGCGGTAACTAATCATTACAGTTGCGCTGACCAGTCTCACAACTCGTTCCCAGTATTCTCAATAAGAAAAGATTGCCTGCGTGTTTTACTTTGCACAATGATATACGATCTTACTCGAACGCACGATTACGCCTCCCGTTGTTGAAATCACCATACGCATTGTTTGCCTGTCGGGTTTTACAAACAACCATTACGTGCGGGACAATTAGAGATTTATGATCGTTTAAGATAATTAGAGGGGACAGTTTGTAGGGGATTTAATTCTCGGTTGATTGTCAAACTTTTCTATTTTTATTTCCTGTAGATTTTCTATTTAGATATTTGAGAATTTGTGTGCTTTTTTAGGTTCACAAATTTTGGAGTATTTAAATTTTTAAGCTTTTAGGTTCTTTAATTTCTAAGCTTTCAGCTACCCCCTATTTCAGTTACTCAGTTACTTAACTAGTCTTACTAGTTGTAAGACACCCTGTAAACTTGAAAATTTAAAACTGCATAAATACCCTAAAACTCTTTATCAAGCATTGAATTTGCCCACCATCGATCAAACTAACTATACAAAAATAGTTTCTATTCGAAATCCACCCAAACACGAATACCTGTCGTTATAATTACGAGAACCACTGCAACGCGCAATGGAAGCTGAAATTACATCGTTAGACACTTGGACGTTGATCGCAGGAGCGTTGACGATGGAATATTAGTTACGTGTCGACAGCGAAGATGTAGATGATGCATAAATGAGGTAAATTTTGCACACGATCGTATAGGGATATTCTGATAAAACAGAGCGAAGAAGGAAACAGAATTTCTTACCGTCGCTACTACATCGGGAGTCGACCTTTCTCCTTTTCAACTTGAGGTCTTGAAACAAGCTCATGTTGTCTAGCTCACACGGGCTGCTCGTAAGGGTCATAATTCCTGTGAACAGAACACAAATGTTAGAAAATTTAGAGTTTGTATAAATGCAAAATGCTATAAACGCAAAAGGTTTGAGCGGGTCATGTGCTCTTTGTCTGGTCGCAAGGGAAAGGACAATAGTCAAGGGCCACGGTGTCCTCGCATGTTTTACCCAGGCATTCTTTTGTCGACACAGAATAAATATTTCATCGAGTCAATTTCGTATCTTAAATTTACAGACCGCTCAATTTTTCCAAATTTTTCCTAATTTTCTTACGCGAAGATTAGCCTAGCTTCGTAGCGAAGCTAACGGAATAAATAGTCGAAGGTAATCAACGATGACGGGTTCAAAGGATCGCGCAAATCAAAGTCGCGATAGACGCGTCTCGCTGGTGTCTGCTGTGAAAAACATCTTCGTTAATCACGAAATGTCTAGTCACGTTTCTCTTTCATTATACAAACTGCGATGCATAACGAAGCTTTCGCGGATATTAAGTTTCAACGATTCATGAATGAAGATTATCTCGGACGTTTAGTATTGTTTTATTGTTGCGGGTATGTTAGAAAAGTTGGCGTTCTGTCGAATAAATTGTTTTGAGTAATTGTTAGAAATTTTAGAATGTCTTAACATATACAGTGACTCTCATTTGTAACTAGTCTCTGCTGTGTTAGTCTCTGATATGTTATTATATGCTATAAGATTTATTTATTCAAATTAATTTGTCGTGCAACAAATGTTAAGTAAGTGTTCTCAACTCTATGGTAGCATGGTATTATCGTATGTTAAGTCTTTATATGGGGTGTCGTCATATGTTAGATCTTTGCTGGTGGTATTATCACATGTTAAGTCCTCACATGTGGTACTGTCACATGTGGTACCGTCACATGTTAAGTCGTTACATATGATATTATTGTATATTAAATCTTTGTTGGTGGTATCATCACATGTTAAGTCTCCACATATGGTATTGTCACATGTGGTATCGTCACATGTTAAGTTTTCACATGTGGCATTGTCATATGTTAGGTCTTTGCTGGTGGTATCATCACATGTTAAGTCTGCACATATGATATCGTCACATGTGGTATCGTCACATGTTAAGTTTTCACATGTGGCATTGTCATATGTTAGGTCTTTGCTGGTGGTATCATCATATGTTAGGTCTCCACATAGAGCATCGCCATGTTAGGTTTCCATATGTGATATCATCACATGTTATGTTATCTCTGCAAGAGTATTTGGATCCATACATATATCATTGTTTGGTACAGATACTAAAAAGAGCAAACTTAATTTAAAATCTAAAAGATCAGACTATTCTTAGAAGACTATTAGAAATTCTTAGAGTCAGATTTTTATATTATTTTTATAAATTCCTCGCATTGTACTACAAACGACATGTCATTAGTGATATGTGACACGTCTTGAAATGTCAAGATACATGGAAATTATTCTCGACACTGATATGTCAGGTACCGATATTCATTTAATCACAGTCCACTCACCTTGACCGTATTAATATACCTCGCAAGAAGAGTCTAAAAATTAATAACCTTGTTATTAACCAACGTTTATCAAATGTGATATACTCTTGTCAAATCTTACTGATGCTATATGACATCCAAGTTAATTCTTATTTGAGGAAGCTTCTGAAAACATTGTTAGTCATTCGGTTTCGTTGAAAATATCGGCTATCGCAAAGAGAATGGACTGAATGTGAAAGTACATACGTGTATTGGACGCACGCGTTCGCGATTACGGCGAACGCATAGTTCGCCATTAACCCCTCTTTAGCCAATAGCATACAATTGGATCGTTTCATGGCAGTGTTTTTCAACGGTGCAACGCGAGAAACCCTGCGATTTTATAGCGAGAGCAAATCTTGGAATCTTTATTACGATGTACGATCAATGCTGCATCTGACTTCCCTGGGGCAAATCTGGTAACGCTTTGACTACCGGGACGTTCACATATGGTGGTACAGGACCTTTACGAGGTATACCAGTTATACTTTATAAGTGATAAACTTCATGAATGATAGACTTCATAAGTCACTTTTGATATTAAAAATTTGTGCATTTAATTGGAAATACGTTTACGATGTACTTGGAACAAATAATAAATGTAACAATTGTGGAAAGATTTAGTGCAAAAAAATTGGATTGGTAGATATGTTAAGAGAGGGTTTTTATTTGAGAATGGTAGTTCAGTTGGTAGTTTTGCAAATTTGGAACTTCAGAAATTGGAAACTTTGGGAACTTGATAATGTGAGAACTTGGGACATTAGAAGTGTAGGAACATGGGGACTTCGGAATTTGAAGAGTTGTAAACTTTGAGGATTTCAGAATATCATTGGAAGCGTTTGAAGTTTAAAAACTTGAGAGTTTTTGACTTGAAACCTTCGAACTTGGAAAATATAGAAATCTACAAATGTGGAGAGATGAATGTATCTACAATATAGAGACATAGAAACCTAGAAACTTGACAATTTGGAAATACAGAAATTTAAGAATTCACAAACCTAAATTCACTTTCATAATCCAATAAGTGAATCGAAAAATATAGAACCCAAAAACAGCAAAATAAATACTGCAATAAAAATGACAGAACTATAAACTATAAATTTTTGAGAGTCATTATTCTCGATCCAACGTGATCCACAAACTGATAGCCATAATTTTCCGCCCTTCTGAGGAATCAAAAGTAGTTAAACAATCGTAACGAAGAACTTTATAGAATCGCTCTGAAAGCTGAACAAACGGTGCACTCTAATGGAATAATTAAGGACGTCGTTCAATGGACCCAGTTCACAAAATCGTCTTCAGATGAGTCTTAGGAACGGGAACGCGACGATTGCCACACCGGGTCAGTCAGTTAAATAATGTCTGCCCGGTACTTCTGATAATGACAGATCGCGACCGATTGCTGACTCTTGGTTCGCAGTAATTAATAACGTAGCAACATCAACAACGGTTTTACAAGCCGTTACTGCTGCAACGGTCCATGACACACGCCATGAGCCGTTTCAATAAACGGCGAACATGCCGTGAACAATGCAGGCCAATTGTATGCGATCGCTCGCATGCAACTATGTTCACCGTTACGCGAACATACCATCGTTGTATAATCGACGTTACATTGTGTTAACACCTTGACTGTCGCTCGACCGTTAAATGGAGGGACGTTAGTACAATGTTGCAAAATTAAAAAGAATATGTCGCGTCGTAACTCGACATCAATTTTTTAACTTTTTAGTATATTGAAATCGTAGTTCTTCATTTTATTCATTTTGGTGGATATTAAGGATTTGGATAGGGAGATTGGGATATGAGGGTATAAGGATTTAGGGATTCAGGGAGTTTGGAATATAAGGAGTTAGAGATCTAGGAATTTATATAAGGACTTAGGAGTTTGAGGATTTTTGGATATGGCAAATTTAGAGTTTAGAATTTTTTGAACATAGAGATCTGAGGATTTAGAAATTTTGATATTAGGGGTTTGGGGATCTAGGGATTTTTGTATATTACAATCTGAGATCTAGAGTAATTCGGGACGATGGAAACTGGGATCTAGGGATATTCGGAACGATGGATATTGGGATCTAGGGATACTCGGGACAATGGATACTAGGACGTAGGGATATTCGGGATGATGGATACTGGGATCTAGGGATATTCGGAACGATGGATACTGGGATCTAGGGATACTCGGGACGATGGATACTGGGGTTCAGGGATATTCGGGACGATGGATACTGGGATCTAGGGGTACTCGGGACGATGGATACTAGGACGTAGGGATATTCGGGACGATGGATACTGGGATCTAGGGATATTCGGAACGATGGATACTGGGATCTAGGGATACTCGGGACGATGGATACTGGGACCTAGGGATATTCGGGATGATGGATACCAGGACCTAGGGATTCAGGGATATTTGGGGCAATGAATACTGGGATCTAGGGATATTCAACTCGTAAGATATCGGGAAGTAAAAATATTAAGATCTGAGAAAATCAGAACATGGAGATATCGGAATATAGAAATCTACGGATTTAGGGATCCACGAATTCAGAGATCTAGGGATTTAGGAATCTAGATATTTAAGTGCATATTGACTAAGAGTAGTAGTACCATAAAAGACTAGAGACTTTAATAACTTAAAAACTTTGAATTTGATGATTCATAACCAAAAATTCCTAGGTACGCAACAATGTTACGCTTACTAAACAGACCTTGAATAATTGTAACTTATTGCTGTTTTATCACTATCTTACGTATGTTTTATCATAATTTGTCACTATCTTATGTATCTATGTCAATTATTATTGTATGTATCTGTGCTTATGTCATTGAAAAGAAAAGAAAAACAGCAATTCAAAACACGTATGCAAGGCTGCAATTAGCATGATACGTTTGATTTGCAACTTTGTGCAAGTTTCAATTTAAAGAACCGTTCACATACCGGTCAGTCGTGACTGCCGATTTATAACCAAGTCAAGCTTCCTGTTCCGAAGTTTAAGTAAATATTCGCGGCTCGTAAAATCGTGGGGGAACTTTCTCTGTCACGTCGAGTGCTCTTAATTCCAACGATTTCTCTTATCCGCGGCTCTACACGTTAAATGATTTCTCTTATGTTCCTGCTTACACACGGTTCGTGCTATAACCACTTTCTTCTCTCTTCTGTTTCCCCTTTCGAACACGCCAACTACGTTCACTGGGACGATCTACAACTTTGGACTCTAAAGCTTCGTCTCCACCGGTGACCACGTATTAACCTATTCTTTCTAATTTTGTCTACTAATTTGCCTATTATAAATGGGAGAATAATAAATGGGGACTCATGGGAGAACAATTTAATATTGCATGTAATTTATCGCTGAATTAAAGGCAAGTGTAAGATCGCACAATGCAAACATAAAAAATAAAAGTTATCGAGTTTTGTGATAAAATATGAGAGGAGATTAAAGGATTAAATCCTCACAGTTCATTGTAGTGACAATAAAATGAATTATATA